TTTTGGAATGCATTAACTTTTATCTGCCCAGGTTGAATCCTTCATTCCTCATTCTCATCCTAATTTCTTGATGTTGGGCAAGACACTCCAGATGAGTTGCTAACATCAAAAGGCTTCAGTTCTAACTAGAAGAAATTTTGCTTAGGAATATTTTATCAGTTTTGTGGTCAATTAATCAACTGGTGTTACAATAAAAGCAAGAAAGTGATGCAAGTTCTTTGGGATATATGCACCGGAAAATATATGAACACTGTTGGCCCAAAATCACAGGGCCCCACTAAATTGTTGGCCATTTGGCCTCATGATTTTAATGATAATCGTTCTACCATGAATTTTGTCTTCCGCTAGCATTTCAACAGTACTGTGTGCTGTAGCAGTATACATCTGAAAGAGTTTCCTCCTATGCCATGGATCCGGTGTAGCGCTCCAGTGAGAAATAATCAATGGTGTACTTATCCCCTTTACATGTTCTTTATTTACATTTTTTACATTGAATTCTAAGCTAAGTGCTTAGTCTTTTGTTACTTGCAGCCTTGCAGGCAGGAACATGAGCATTCATATCTGGGAGTTCCGAAGAAGGCGTTGACCCCATTATATATATTGCTGCTCTCTGCCAGAAACCAAACAAATAACACTTCTATGATGCTGCTCACTGACTGATACTAAATATGAGTATATGGCTTGTTCTCGAGGATAGTTATCACTTTTTGATTCATATGGAATTTGAGGATATGGATGACACTGGTTTGTTTCTTTCACTACTAAAATTCTGTCCACCATTAGCTTACGGGCAATGCTCCAGATCCACGCGAACATGCCCGAGTAACTGCTCTTTATGATTCCATGTTCTTATGTAATAAGACTTGATGTGTTTTATCTTCCAATAATTCAGACACGGGCCTTCCACAACTTGATACAAGCTGCTGACAAGAGTTAGAGGGTTAGGTTTGATATTATTATTTGTTGTATGACTATTTGTTCTCATTATGGCACACCTTATTTATCTTTTATTCAGTTACATAGCTTGCCTGTATTACTTGAAACATAATTATACTGTGTACATTTAGTGGATACTATTGTTGAGTAAAAACGAAATTCGAACTTCAAATTACATACTGGATTTAGATTGTTTCCTTAGAAACCAAGAGTTCTTTTTTTGATGAAACTGCCAGATTGGCTTTTCATTCATGAAGAAGGGGTGTAGTACAAGGTGTTCCTCAAAAATACAGGGTAGTAGAGCTGCATACGAACTATATGCAGGAAACATACAGTGGAACATAACTGAAGCATCTCTAATCTGTCTCCCTTGGTTTTTGAATCAGCTGGTTAAAACCCAAGATATCATTTGCGGTTCCCAGTAGTTGTTTACTAGAGGTATCCACGATCCTTTAGAAATTAGAAGTGATAAGAAAAAAAAGTGGAACTGAACTGAAGCTATTTTTGTTAGTATTGTCTACGTCTCCTTGACCTTTCACGGGAATCTGATGTAACCATCCTGCAACCTGCAAATACTATAGATGATATGCAGAGAAGATTTCAATATTACTTATTACTGCCTTAGTACTATGCCTTTCTTCTCTACATAAATCATTTATAAAGCTGTAGGAGGAGCTCAGCTTACATATATGAATATCCGACTAATTGCCTTACCACTAATTAGTTGCCACACTGCAACTACTGACAGTGGATACTGACATCGTATTCTCTTGGTAGAGTTCAAAACAACATGAAACAAGCTGATGAAATTCAGTTGTATTTTTTTCTTTTCCGACCATGTAGTTTTTTTAACTGCTCCGAAGGTCCTCTCATATATAATTAAGCTCACACACAAATGTCCTTGTACGTACTATAGAATCATATAGCTGACAATATTGAACTTTTCTGTTGTAATAAGAATATCAAGCATTATTTTGTCATTGGTGTTTCAGTTTGTCGGTTACAGGTATATCATTCCAATATTCATACTATAGAAGTTGTTGTCAGGGAGTGCGAGAGGGGTAGCAGAGTGGCCAGTGAGGGGAGCACCATCACGGGAGCTGTGTTAATAGAAGGCAACGTCGAGAAGATGTCGACAACCTCCGTGGATGAGCTGTGGTTGTGAGAGTTTGCCAAGGAAGGCCTACTCGATCATGGAGTGGCTATCGCTGCAAAAGGCGACGCTAGCAACAGAGACAACCATCCATTTGTGCCACCATCAATAACAACGTTGTAACAAGCATGGCTCTGCACTGGTGAGTAGAACTTTCTCCAAATCCAATCGAACTATTGGATTAAGACGTTCTAAAATTTATTGCCTGACTGCCTCATCTGTGTCCATATCTCTGTTGGGAATTTGCAGGTTGCTGAAGCAGTAGAGTGGCTTATGTCATGTAGGCAACTGGTGGCTACAAGGATCCGTACGTAAACATGGTATGTGAAATTTGTGCTACACAGGAATGGAAATGCCAATTTACAAAATATAATATGCATGTTTGGTTGATGATTACTTGGGGTAGCCGAATAGAACTTGGAACTAGTATAACTTAAGTGTGGCTATGAAAATTTTAGATGGAGTTGGTGGTTTGGTACCTATTGGAGTAACAAATTCCAGTTACCCAGTAGAAAGCAAGGTGAATCGGAAATCAATTATTAAATCTGCTTTATAGGCTTTGCTAAAGAGAGAAACCGAGAGCTACTAATATCCTGGTTTCATTAAAGCTTATTAGCGTCTTGAATCCCTGTAAAGCAGCATTGTGCATTGCTATTGGATGACGCTGTGGGTTGTGGGTGTAGAGTGGAGATTGCATCACATGCTCAACGTTGTGTCAAAGGACTTGCATGGGCCACAGGGATGTTGTGGTGTTCATAGTGGGCAACGTTTGTTTTCATGTAAGTTATGATCGATGTAAGATAGGTAGTGGATGGGCATGTCATAAGTTTTTTCTCCCGTTGCAACGCACGGGCATATTTCCTAGTCCTAATAAAGCGTCACAACACGGAATTTCAAAAAGTAAGAAAAAAAAGAGTCATCCTATTAGCGACCTTTTTGTAGGCCTGACCACAAACGCCACGCCTCCCTCCTCCCCGTGCATGATTTGGGCCGGCCCATGTGCCCTGTTTTTTCTTTCATTGTTTTTGTTCTTTGCTTCACACTATTCAGGATTGTTTTAAAAAAATCAAAAATCTTAAAAAATTTGAGAATGCTCTTGGAAAATTTTCGTGCATTCAAACATATTTTTAATATTGAAGACAATTCTTTTATGAATAAAAGTTACCTAAGTCAAAACAATTTTTTTGCGCATTTTAAAAAATATCACGAATTCAATAAATGTTTATGAATTTCAGAAAATATTTGCAAATTTAGAAAATTGTTCATGGATAAAAATATTTTATAAGTTTAAAAATGTTTATGAATTTGAAAAGAAGGTCCACAAATTTCAAAAATATTCGTGATTTTGAAATAATATGCTCATGAATTCAGAAAATGTTCCCCCACAAAAAAAAGAATTCAGAAATTGTTAATGACTTTCAGAAACATTGTTCATGAAGTTAAAAAAAGATTCATGGGTTAATAGTTTTTCACTAAAATCAAATAATGTTCGCAGGTGTTAAAAAGTCTTCATGAATATCAAAAGATTGTTCGAGAATTCAGAAAAAAAATGAATTTGAAAAATATTTCCAATTATAAAAAATTGTTTGTGATTTTCAAAAACATTTTTGCGAGTTTCAATTTTATCATGAATTTAAGAATTATTATCGAATTCAAAACATGTTCACAAGTTAAAAAAAATGTGTATGAATTTGGAAATTGCTCACGATTTTCAGAAAAGTACACGAAAAAATATAGTGATTTGTACAAAAAGTTTGAATTAAATAAATATTTGTTAATATGAAAAAAGAAAATAAAGGGAAATAGAAAATAAAAATCAGAAAAGAAGAGAAAAAAGAAAAAGAAATGCAAAGGAAAAAGGAAAAGAAGAAAAAACAAAAGAAACATGAAAAACCGGTTCAGGGAAGGTACAAAACAGGTGTAGAAAAGCCTCTAGAGGAGGCTCGGATAAGGAGGGGAAGGCTTGAAGAAGGTGGTCAGTCGACCCAGTTGAGCCCAGGTTGGAGATGGCGGACAGCGTTGTCGGCGGGTCGGCATCACCCTCACCTCTTGATGGAGGACGCGTGGGAGCACTTTCGCCTCTCAATGGTGGAAGAGCACCTCATGGGGGGAGGTGCAGTTCAAGGCAGAGCGCACGAACGTTGCCGCCCTCGTCGAGCTCTACGACGGCCCATCGCTCATTGCCGAAGTCCGCGCCTTCCTGGAGTCCATCGAGGATGAGCAGGTGGTGTTGACGAACAGCTGCATGATCTTCATTCATGACCGAGAGCCGGAGGATACCTTTGTAGATGAGGACGACGAAATGCCTCATGCCGCGCCAATGACCACGAGGCCGGTGGTTCTGACGAAGGGGTGATCGCAATCCCCTCAAACTAGGAGTAGATAGATTAGTTTGTAGTATATATGTATTTTTATTTCCGGATGTAGTACTAGCTCGTTTTATCTAGGAATAAGTGAATCTATCATCTATAAATGAGTTGTAGTTGTAGCTCGGTTGCAATCCTATGTTGCATGCTTTTGCATAATAATTTTGAAGGTTAAGAATAGTGAGTCAGACCTCAGACGTATAGGGGGCAAGAGAAAAAAGCCCAACCGGACTGACACCTCCAACCGGACTGGGCTTCTTTTTCAGTCCGGTTGCTACGAGACTCCAATTGCTACCTCTGGAGAAGAAAAGCTTGAGCCTCCACATTCTTCCTCCTGTCTGTGTCGCTCCGAGAAGCTCGTCGCCGTCGGCTGCATCCCCGCCGCCCTAAACCAAACCAAGGTACTACCTTTCCCGACTCACCACGGCATGGGCGAGGTCACCACCACCGGCTACTACCTGATTTTCCTCGGCCTGATCCGTGATTCCCTCTCTCCATCTGCATATCTGACCCCTGCATAGGCCCTTGTGCTTCCGCTCCAATCCATGGAGGAGGCGGAAAAAGGGGAGGTCTTCGAGAGGATGTCAGGACCCTGCTTCTCTGCATTGCTTAACTGAAGAAAGAGACAGTGGCTCTGAAGAAATCGACAGTGAGACCGAATCGGTATTCACTTGGGAAATGGACGACCCTGATGAAGCGATCGGGCGATCAACGGCTCAACTGCTCTCCTGTTCACAGTCATGCTGTTGCCGCCACTCTCTGGAAAGCCACCGTAACGGAACGGGACGCGACGGCGACACCACCGGCCCTGCCAGCTATTAAGCTCCTTCTCCACGCCTCCGGAAGCATCTTATCCCCATTCTAGAAGATGTACTACCTAGCATATCTCTAGAACTCTAGCTATCTTTGTAGAATTCGGATTGGATCCTCGAACTGAATTGTACTCGTATTATCTCTGTAATGATCCAAGCCTGGGCTAGTTCAAATGATTTATGTGTTTGATTTGATCGTTCGTCCTGTCAATTGGTATTAGAGCCAGTGAATCCTCAGAGGTGAAGCGGATCTGACCACGATTGGGGTTGGGATCTCTCGTAAAATCCCCCGATCCAGTGTCAGGTCCAGGCGGCAGTGCAGATCACGGATCGAAGGCGGCTTGGAGTTGGCATCGTTCGGCTGCAAATTGGGGAGAAACTCGGTTGCGGTCGGAAAAATTCCACCGTAGTAAAATTCCGTAGCGTATCCCTAGTTCGTGCAGCATCGGAGAAGCAATTTTAGCGTGAAGTTTCGCGGCGGAAGGATGAGGTCACCGGCAAGGGTTTCAGACAAGTGCTGTTGTAAATTCCTGAGCAGCGGTGACCGCCATGCCTACTCGGACGAAGCACATGGATGAGATATCATAAGAGCTTGAGGCTCTGCAAACCGAGCTCTCTGCACTTGGACTGAAACAAGACAAGATGCAAGACCAAATCGACCAAGTCAACACGCGTTTGCAGACAGTTGAATCATTGGAAAAGCAGTTGGGCAAGGTCGAGCTCTTGGTGGAGACCAACTCAAAAGTTCAGCAAGAAATTTTCTCCATCTTGCGTGAGATGCGGTCAGGAAATCCCAACCCTCCCTCCCCCGATTCCCTTGGTTATGTTCCAGTGGTGCTGCAACTAGATCAAGGGGCGCAAGCAACTAATCCTCAAGGACAAGCAATTATTCCCCCACCCGTGCAGCAACGACAGTTGTTGAACACTCTACCTGACAGACCAGCAAACCAACAAACACATTCTCCAGTCAGCAATTCCTGGCAGTATCAAACTGATAGGGCAGCACAGTTCATTAACGCATCAAGCAACCTGATTATTTAACTGATAGGGCGCCTAACCCAAGCACGGCATCCAAACTTGTCAAACACTTGTTTGTTCCCATAGACTTTCCTGATCTCGTTTGTTTTGCCAAGATCACCTCCGGTTCCCCACACAGCGATGAGGCCGAGATCCTCCTGTCCGCAGGTGACCAGCTGATGCAGATCCACCTTGGGTTTTCCCTCCTCAATGGCGGCAAGCCTTGCTTTGTTGATGCCAAACATTACCGTGCAGGCAAGGTTGGCCTGCTCTTCTGCAGCGGCAGCAGGCTTGCAGCCAGACAAACCTTCCTTGATGAGGCGGTACCGCAGGTTTCTGTTGCTGACGTCCTCAACCTTTGCCCTTAGATCCTTCACTTCCATGGCGATGTGGCGTCGATCACATAGGTCACGGGGGATGCATCCCCAGATCGGCTTCATCTCCGTGTGGAGGCCGAAATCCATGAGGTTGTCCTCCACCTTGTAGGCCAGGTCGCGGACCTGCTGCACCCAGGTGATAAGTACCTTGTGTTGCCCTTGATCCTCGTCGGCCGTCATCAGGAATGACTGCATCATCTGCAGTTCATCCGTGATAAAGGTCACATCGCGCTCGACGCCGAGCTGCAAGGCGATCTCCTCCATGGCCTTGGACTTGGCATAGCCCAGTGCTCCATTCAGCACGGCCTTGCCCACGCTCACCGCCGTTGCTTCCATGCTTTTCTATCCCCTCTCGACTATGAGTGGACTGTGAAGGAGGCAAATGCTTCTTCCTAGTCTGAAGTTCTGAACTGAAGAGCAGGCAGCAGATGGTGGCTTCACAGGAGAGCCCGGCTGTAAGGTCCCTAATAAAAAAAAACTGATTTTGGGCAGATGTCGATGCAGATCTGAATCAAGCAACCTGATTATTTAACTGATAGGGCGCAAGTTTTTTTTGTAAGATTGCATTAAAGCATCAACGATATGTTTAGTAAAAGCTTTATTTTGACTATAAGCATGAGGAGAATTTAGCACGGATTGCAATCAGGAAATACAATCTACAAAAGAGCAATTATTATAATTAAATTTTTTGAAATCCAAGATAGTGGGTTCGTTGCTATCTAATGTTTTAACCTCTTCAATCCCACTTTTACTAATTTTTGCATCAAGATCTAAAAACTCTGAATTTTTGGGATGCCTTCTAACTAAATTTGACTCATCTCTAGTCCCATCATTATCAAGATTCATATTGCAAAACAAGGATTTAATAGGGAACACATCAATCACTTTTAGATCTTCATCCTTATTATCATAAAAAAAATCTGGTTTAGCAGCCATCTTATTAACTAAGGTGGCCTGCTTATCCGAAATTTCAGCAATTAATTTTTCAAAATGAACAATCTGAGATTTGAAACCATAAAATTCCTTAGACATTTCATCAACTCTTTATTCATATATTCCATAAAGCCTTTTTGTTCCTTGAGCTCGTTTATAAAGAAATTATTATGCTCAAATTGTAAAGTCATAAAGCTTCTGACATTGCTTTCAATCTCTTCCAACCTTTTAAGGTGAAGATCACCAAATCTAGGCAGGGCCATAAGGGCAACAAGCAACAAGAGGCAAGCGAAAAAGAGGCGAACAGAAAAGAGGGCGAATAAAACGGCAAGGGTGAAGTGGGGGAGAGGAAAACGAGAGGCAAATAACAAATAATATAATGCGAAGGATAAGAGTTGTGATGGGTACTTGGTATGTCTTGACATGACGTAGATCTCCCCGGCAACGGCGCCAGAAATCCTTCTTGCAACCTCTTGAGCACGCGTTGGTTTTCCCTTGAAGAGGAAAGGGTGATGCAGCAAAGCAACGTAAGTATTTTCCTCAGTTTTTGAGAATCAAGGTATCAATCCAGTATGAGACCACGCGTGAGTCACCTCGTACCTACACAAACAAATAAGAATCTCGCAACCAACGCGATAAAGGGGTTGTCAATCCCTTCACGGCCACTTGCAAGAGTGAGATCTGATAAAGATAATAATAACAAGATAAATATTTTTGGTATTTTTATGATATAAATTGAAAGTAAAGATTGCAAAATAAAATAGATTGAAAACTTGTATGATGGAAAATAGACCCGGGGGCCATAGGTTTCACTAGTGGCTTCTCTCAAGATAGCATAAGTATTACGATGGGTGAACAAATTACTGTCGAGCAATTGATAGAATTGAGCATAGTTATGAGAATATCTAGGTATGATCATGTATATAGGCATCACGTCCGTGACAAGTAGACCGACTCCTGCCTGCACCTACTACTATTACTCCACACATCGATCGCTATCCAGCATGGATCTAGAGTATTAAGTTCATGGAAACAGAATAACGCCTTAAGCAAGATGACATGATGTAGAGGGATAAACTCATGCAATATGATATAAACCCCATCTTTTTATCCTCGATGGCAACAATACAATACGTGTCGTTTCCCCTACTCTCACTGGGATCGAGCACCGCAAGATTGAACCCAAAGCTAAGCACTTCTCCCATTGCAAGAAAGATCAATCTAGTAGGCCAAACCAAACTGATAATTCGAAGAGACTTGCAAAGATAACCAATCATACATAAAAGAATTCAGAGAAGATTCAAATATTGTTCATAGATAATCTTGATCATAAACCCACGATTCATCGGATCTCGACAAACACAACACAAAAAGAGTTACATCGAATAGATCTCCAAGAGAATCGAGGAGAACTTTGTATTGAGATCCAAAGAGAAAGAAGAAGCCATCTAGCTAATAACTATGGACCCGAAGGTCTGAGGTAAACTACTCACACATCATCGGAGAGGCTATGGTGTTGATGTAGAAGCCCTCCATGATCAATGCCCCCTCCGGTGGAGCGCCGGAAAAGGCCCCAAGATGGGATCTCACGGGTACAGAAGGTTGCGGCGGTGGAATTAGGTTTTCATGGTGCCCTCTGATGTTTTCAGGGTATGTAGGTATATATAGGAGGAAGAAGTAGGTCGGTGGAGCCACGAGGGGCCCACGAGGGTGGAGGGCGCGCCCTCCTGCCTCGTGGCTTCTTCGTTGGTTGCTTGACGTCCACTCCAAGTCCTTTGGATCACGTTTGTTCCAAAAATCACGCCCCCGAAGGCTTCATTCCGTTTGGACTCCGTTTGATATTCTTTTTCTACGAAACACTGAAATAGGGAAAAACAACAATTTGGGCTGGGCCTCCAGTTAATAGGTTAGTCCCAAAAATAATATAAAAGTGTATAAATAAGCCCATTAAACATCCAAAACAGAATATATAATAGCATGGAACAATCAAAAATTATAGATATGTTGGAGAGGTATCACCTGAAGACACATTTCCATGGATTTTGTGGAAGGACTCCCTAAATCCCAAGGGAAGAATGTGATCTTGGTAGTTGTGGATAGATTCACCAAATACTCCCATTTTATTGCTCTGTCACACCCTTTTATTGTTAATACTGTCCTTCAAGCATTCATTGACAATGTGTTCAAATTTCATGGATTACCAGAGTAACTGAGAGACACAATCTTCACCGGCAACTTTTGGCAAGCACTGTTTAAATCCTTGGGAGTGAAACTCAACATGAGTAAAGCTCATCACCGCTAGTCTGATGGCCAGACAGAGGGAGTGAACCAGTGTCTAGAGACATATCTAAGAAGCATGGCTTTTAATGAACCAAAAATGTGGTATTCCTGGTTACCTATGGACAAATTGTGGTTCAATACATCCTATCACACTGCTACCAAGTACACCCCATTCTAGTGCCTATATGGATTTCCTCCCCCACTCTTTGGAGAAGTTTCAATTCCTGGTGCCAGTGATGTGGATGCAGCTGCCTTTTTACAGCAAAGAGAACAAATGCATCACCAGCTTAAACACAATTTATTGATAGCCCAACAACAGATGAAGAAATATGCAGATATGAACAGAACAGACAGGAAGTTCAAGGAAGGAGAGATGGTCTACTTGAAAATGCAGCCCTATCGTCTTGCTGCATTTGATATTAGGACCGGTATCAAACTTGCAACTAAGTTCTATGGACCATTCAGAATATTGGAGAAGATTAGCCACTCAGCTTACAAACTGCTCCTGCATGCTGGCGTTCAGATCCATAATGTATTTCATGTCAGCCAATTGAAACGTCATCTGGGCCCCAAGGCTATACCAGCTCCTAGCTTGCCACTGGTGGATGAAGCCGGCAAGATCAAAATAGCACCAGTGCTTGTTTTACAAACGAGAGCAGTACCTTGACACCCACATTTGGTAATGCAGTGGTTAGTACAGTGGCTCAACATGTCACCGGAAGAAGGCACTTGGGAGGACGCCGATTTCATCAAGCGCACTTTCCCTGAGTTCTTCAACAACACTATTCGCTCTTGGTTTCCACCAAAAGATCCTGGAGGACAAGGATCGTCTTCAGAGGGAGGCAATTGTCAGGACCCTGCTTCTCTGCATTGCTTAACTGAAGAAAGAGACAATGGCTCTGAAGAAATCGACAGTGAGACCGAATCGGTGTTCACTTGGGAAATGGACGACCCTGATGAAGCGATCGGGCGATCAACGGCTCAACTGCTCTCCTGTTCACAGTCACGCTGTTGCCGCCACTCTCTGGAAAGCCACAATAATGGAACGGGACGCGACCGGCCCTGCCAGCTATTAAGCTCCTTCTCCACGCCTCCGGAAGCATCTTTTCCCTATTCTACAAGATGTACTACCTAGCGTATCTCTAGAACTCTAGCTATCTTTGTAGAATTCGGATTGGATCCTCGAACTGAATTGTACTCGTATTATCTCTGTAATAATTCAAGCCGGGGCTAGTTCGAGTGATTTATGTGTTTGATTTGATCGTTGGTCCTGTCAGAGGAACACCAAGCCTTGGCTGGACAGCCATCCGGGGGAGACCTCGGATGCGGCCGGCGTGTTCACCGACGACATCATCCTGGAGATCCTCTCCCGCCTCCCAGCCAGATCCGTCCACCGCTTCAAGTGCGTTTCCGTACCCGGGCGCGACCTCATCACCGACCCTGCCAACCGCAAGAAGCTGCCCCAGGCCCTCGCCGGCTTCCTCTACATGTCCTTCCGCAGCGTGCACCACCACCACTTCGCCAGCGTCTCCGGCGGCGCAGCCCCGTTCGACCCTTCCGTCCCTTACCTGCAACCAAACAAGTACAAGGACATGGAGCAGGTGGACGCCTGCAATGGCCTCCTTCTCTACCGCGGCTGCACCAAGAATTTGCCCCCTTGGGATTGGAAAGAGGATGATTGCCGTTTTGTCGTGTGCAATCCTGCCACTGGCAGCTGGGTGGAGCTGCCCCCTCAACCTCAACTGCAAGAGCCGGTGAAAGGGCGTAGCCGTGTCGCAGGTTTGGCTTTTGATCCGACGGTCTCATCCCATTTCCATGTTCTTCGTTTCGAGGAGGCAGACTCGTCGAGCGTGACAGGAGTCAGCATCTACTCATCGCGGACAGGAGCCTGGAGTCATAGGGACAGGGCGATGGCTGAGGAAGTTACGCTGTCGTATAGCACTAGATGTATCTTTGCTGGCGGCGTGCTCTACCTGATGGGCTCCCTTCAAAGCACCAACAACGACCATGTACTGCTGGCAGTGGACATGGCTGGGAAAGTGTGGAAGACCATCAGTGTGCCGTATCCCCGAAGATTTGCTATGATTGGATCGTCCCAGGGGTGCTTACACTATGCTATAGCTTCCGTCAGTGATAACAACAACATCCTAGTTTCTAAGATAGAACTCTGGTGCCTCAAGGATTGTGATAGTAAAGAATGGGTCCTCAAACATACTGCCAGCATCGATAAGATTATGGGCATGACTATGAAGAATTACAGGGTGATCGGGATCCATCCAGACTGCAACACCATTTTCTTGGTTCCATGTGGAGGTCATACCTTGCTACCGTATGATATGCAACATCAGAAAGTTGGATGCATCCTTAATCTTGAGAAAAACAGTACACAACGATTTCTACCCTATGTTCCTCTGTTCTCAGAGTCATTAGCAGATGCAAATGGCCGGTAGCTTTATCTTCAATGCTTCCTCCAAGAATTGGCTTTTCTATCGGCTGAACTATTTGTGAGTACCTCTGAATCTACTTGAATCATGCCGCTCAATTTGCTGGTGCTTACACTCCTGCTTGCTTGGTTTTCAGTTCAGAGCAATGCCTGGTAACCTACAGATTAAGCATAATGTTAACCCCAAAGAACACCGTTACTGGCTATTGTTCTTGACATGGGGCTAAATTATACTGTAACCAGCCTTCTTGTCCATAACAATCAGTTATTATGATTATCCTGGTAGATTGTGAACCTGGTAGTGCAGATTGTGAACCTGGTAGTTTACTAAAACGTTCAATCAGAGCAGTTACTGGTGTGATGTCCACTCAACCTTATTCATTCAGTATTTTGCTAAAGCACTGCCTTTGAGCAGGCTCTTTTTACTTATATTTGCTGAATTTAGTAGAGCTTTGGATCTGTTAACCACAGAGGCATTGCATTAATACCAAAAAAATGAAATAGAGGTGCAAGCTTTGATGGGAAGATTTTGGCAGATGCCAGGACAGGGCATTTACTGTGCTAGAACTTTGACAGTTGATATGGGTGCTCTTGTTTCTAAATTGAACTCAAAAGTTGTTCCACCCTGCCTTTTGTCTAAAAACATATGTAGTGTGAATTTTCATCCGCCTTCGATGAAACTTCAGCTTGATTCTCTCAAATGCGTAGCAACTTTGTTTGCAATCTTATTTCACAGTAAGAAAATGAATACAATATTATTTCTGCTTGTTTCAGCTACCGAACAAAGTACAGTCCATGCATTTACACATTAACTTGTCAGCCTTCTTAGCTTATAATTTTCGGACCTCATTTTGACAGAAGTTGTGCAAGTTTAGTGAAAATGCAACTTTAGTTATCAATTGATTATTTCTGCACCCTTCTTAAGATGTTTTCTAGGTATCAAGTGAATGGATTCAAGTAGATATATTACCTTTTGTCAGAAAAAATTGGCAACACTCTCAGAACTCAGATTGATGTATTTTGCGAACAGTTATGATGTTTTGTTTTCATGTTAAGATATGCACTTTAATATTTTGGCTTTCCCATTGGGCCGTTCTGATCTAGCTTCCTGATGATTACCATCGTTTGCTGGTGTACAGCTATTAGCCGTCTGCTGCTACTACTAGTACGGCCACCACCACCAACACTGTTCGGCTGTTCCTGGCATGCCTGAACTATTTGACTGTCCTGAACTCGCAATTTCCATCCGCCAAGCTGGCTAAGTGTGCTCCGGGGGATGCAAGAAGTATGATGGCCTGGCAGATCGAAACAATGCTCCGACTTATCATCTTGTATATTAAGCTGCGTTTTCATATTGTTTTCCGCAACCCCAATTGCTGACTGAATGCTGATGCTTTGGCAATGTGTCATGGGTCTTTCTGCGGATGATTCTGCAGTCCTGATTTGCTGACTGAATTGCATACATCTTTCTGAAGCTTTGCTATATAATATATGCGATGTTATTTTTGCAACCTTGCTTTGCTGGATATTCATGCGTCTTTCTGAAGTTCTGCTAGCCACTGTCTGTATTTTCTGCGTGCACGTTGAGAAAATAAAATGTATTATTAAACATGGTCGCTGATTCCTTGTGTTAATTCAATTGGAGCTATTCAAATGTATTGTTTTTGCAGGCACCTGTAAGATGAAGAAGGGAGCGATCAGAGAAGCAAAAATTCATGTTGATATATAGTGAGCTAAAGCTGCCTATTGATTTTATTTTATGATGGAATGAGACTGTTCCTGTGAAATAAACTTCTGGAGAATTTTTTGAGTTCCCCTGGTAGATGCAGATATATTTTACACATGTATAAGAACTACTACACATGTAGACGTTTCAGAGGGAGCACTCATCTGGGCAGTCTCGGGAAACCATCTCAAGCTGTGTTTGTGTGTTAGCACAAGAACCAGAGTCTATCATTCCACAATATTATTTCAGACAATTCTAATCTGAAAACAAAACATTGTTCCACAATACCATAGATCATCATTTATTGGAAATAAATATATAGCTTCAGTGTTCATCGTCCCAAATTATTACAACCAAACAAATGCAGAGGCCATCATTCCACGACATCACAAACCATAGGAAACAAGTGAATATAGTGTTCATAACTCCACACTGTTACAAACCATATGAAGCAAATAAATCCAGCGTTAAACACTGTTAAAACTTAAGAAACAACCCTAATGGTTCTTAACTTGAAAAGGTAGGAATTAAAGGGATTTATAAATGTATATACCTCTCAATCCATCATTTTCAACAGGAGAGCAGCTTCATAATTAATGTATAAATTCCTTCGCTCTTTCGCCAGTTTAGCTGACCTATTTGTTTGCACGAACTCATAAACACTCCATTGCAGTAAGACACTTTAAACTTCTGAAGAGACCGGGGAAGTTCTGGAAGTGATTCTAGATACCAGCATAGCCGAATCATTAGTCTCTTGAGAAACCTGAGGTTCTTCACATTGTCTGGCAAGTGGTGCCAGCAGCATTCGGCAATTAAGAGATGGCGAAGATGAATGAAATGCTCAAAAAGTTCAGGAGCAGGCCGCAAATCGACTGCAGTCGTGGAATATAAGTTCATGTAGGTGCTTTTGGCCACCGATCTGCTCACCCAGCGTCCAACTTGGGTACCTTAGACTTTGGTACCTCCAGACTTCCAGACTTTTAAGATCCTTGGGTGGGCAAAGGCCCTCAAGTACTTCTGCTTGAACTCCTGGTGTGCAAGCTCTGTCATTAACCCAGAAAAGTCGCAGTTCGGTTAGCCCTTTCTTAGCAGCTAGCTTTGCTTCATGTGCTTCCTTCTTGCTTTCAACATTTTCAAGATTTTGGATCGTCAGACTGCCCCGAAGCTTGTTTAGGTCCCTCAGCTGTTTTAACTCGTACCAATGTTCCCTTCTTACATCAAAAGTTTCTATTGTCTGTATTGATATTAACCTGCCAATGTTCGGAATATGCATTGTTATTTCGCCGCCGATGATATGCCTCAAGTTGGTGAGGTTACCCATGTTTATATCAGATGAAACTTCTACATCACTTGCATAACCAAACATTAGCACCTGCAGATGGTAAAGACTGTCTACTGTTTTCGGTAAATATAGCGCTGCTTCGTAGAACACTAAAGTAAGATACCAAAGATGCTTCAAATGACCAATAGCTGCTGGGATTTCGAACACACTTATTTCATCAATCAATGTCCAGGAGGTTTCTATGGTCAATACTCGCAATTTCTGCAGTTTCTCAAACACTTTCTCAAAGAATTCTTTGTTAGCTGGTGCAAGCTCCATATGATCAATAATGAGAGTGCGTAGGTTTTTCAGTTTAAAAATCTCCTCAGTAACCATTGCTCCATTCGCAACGAAAAGATGACGAACATCATCAAGAACTTCTCTTCTTGAGCCATTCTCGATTCTGAAGCATTCTTGGCTAAATCATGCATAAGATCGTGGACTAAATAGCACAAACTGCCTTGGTAGTATACTCCTGGTTTCACAAATGAGGTTGCCATTAACTCATGGAAGTAACCCTGACCAATAGCTTCCATGTCCTCCTGTGCATTAGTGCTCTGTATGAATCCCTCTGCCACCCACAGTTTAACTAACTCATCACGGTTCAAATGGTATCTTTTGGGGAAAATACTGCAGTACGCAAAGCATCGCCTCACCAGCTCATCAAGATGCTGGTTGGTTGTTGGGCGTAATAAGCCGCGGGGGTCGCTCCTGGCGCGGCTGGTGCGTGTATGGGCGCGCACCGGACTTGTTGGGCGCGCCGGGTCTGCGGGGTGTGTGTGCGTAGGTGTGCGTGTGTGAGTGCATGAGCCAGCGCGCGTGTGTGCGCGGGGGCCACGCCGGGTTGTTAGCGAGCAAGAAGAAGGGGTAGACCGCATCGGGCGCGCTGGGAAGCCGTGGCAATCGCGTACGGGCGCGGTGCGTGGACGCGGCCAGAGCGCGGAGGACGTGGGGAAGTGGGTGGCCGAGTGGGTACAAGGCAAGGCCTGGCAGGCCGGTGCTCGTGGGTGTAAATCCCTGGTTCCCTTCTGTAGCTCGGTGACATAGTCGAGTTCGTACTCGAGGAGAAAGAAAAGCGTTCGTGTGCTGGGAAAATCTCAGTGTCCACCTCTTCTCTGAACTTCTTCTTCCTCTCTTTTCTGATCGAGCCACGGCAAGCCAGAGCGAGCTGAGCGAGAGGGAGAGGAGAGCTGCGGCGAGGCAGTGGCGGTTCCAACAATTGGCATCAGAGCCACGTGGAGATCAGGGTTCGCCGGCGATGTCCATCATCCCGTACGCCGGCGGAGCGGGCGGTTCGTTGCCGCAGCCGGTGCCGCTGCTCACCGGAGAGAACTACACGGCCTGGGCAATCAAGGTTGACACAAACCTTGATGCGGCCGGGCTGTGGGAGGCGGTGGTGGTGCCGGAGGACACCGCGGCGGCCGTGATCGCCAAGAAGGACGAACCGGCGAGGGCATACCTGCTCGGTGCGCTCGCGGAGAACCTGCTGATGCAGGTGGCGTCGAAGAAAACCGTGGCGGAGGTGTGGGCGGCCCTCAAGACGAGGTACGTCGGAGCTGATCGCGTGCGGGCGGCTCGGCTGGGCATGCTGCGCGGGGAGTTTGAGCTCCTGCGCATGGCGGACGCCGAGTCACTGGACGACTTCGCCGGCAGGCTCGGTGGCATGGCGGCGCGCTACGCGGCGTTGGGCTCGACCCTGGAGGACGCCGCCCTCGTCAAGAAGCTGCTTGACTCGGTGTCGAACCGCCTATACCCGGCGGTGGCCGGGATCGAGCAGTTCTATGACATCGACACGATGGCGTTCGAGGACGCGTTGGGGCGGCTGAAGGCCTTCGACGAGCGGCTACGTCGGCGCGGGCAGGACGGAGGCGGCCATGGCGGGGACTAGCTGATGTTCACGGAGGCGCAATGGCAGGCGCGCAAGCGGCAGTGAGGCGGAGCTCGGGATGACGACGACAGG